ACCATGAATTTATTTTTGTTGCTACTTCATACTGTAATGCTGTTGTTATGAATCATTATGTAAATATCTGATAGGCAGGATATCTGATATGTGACCCCTGTGAAAGGGTCATTGGACCCAAGGGAGGTCACGACCTATAGGTTGAGAAATACTCCTCTAAGGGACTCTTCTTTTGACTGATCTTTATATATGTCCTTTAGAATGAAACTGAAATCAGAGCAGGAGGAGACCCACACGCCTGCCTAGGACAGCCCTCCCCAGGCAGCATGGAGAAAACTTGCTCCGCCCGGCGCTATTATGGTGAGCAAATATATGATGGGATATGGGAAGGAAAGAGAGAGAGAGAAACAGAGACAGAGACAGAGACAGACAGACAGACAAACAGGTTCATGTCCTGTGGAGAGAGGCAGATCTGAAGAGGTGAAGGTGGTGAGGAGTGGGCTGAGGTGGGTGGCCTGTGTCACCCTGGGCCATGGTGAGGGCATAGGGCTACACAGAGTTGGTCCTGCCCCTCGCTGGTTGCAACACTAGGGAAAAATGGCCCTGCCCCTCACCAGCTGCAGCACTCAGGGGAGCAGGTCCTGCACCTCTCCTGGGCAGCACAGTAGAGCTGACCCTGTTGGTGTCGGGGAGCTGGCCCTGAGAACCTGAGCCTTGACAGATCTGGCCCCGCCTCCATCTGCCATATGGTGTTATGTGTGAGGGAGAGATTCTTTGTCCCTTGCCTCTCGCCATCTGCAGCAGGTGGGAGACCTGGTCCTTGGGGTCATGAGGTGGCCCTGCCCCCCACTGGCTGCAGCACTGGGAGAGCAGGTCCTGCACCTTGCCACAGAAGCACAGTAGAGCTGATTCTGTGGGCCAGGGCCTGGGGGAACAAGTTCTGAGAGTGGGAGAGTGGGAGAGCTGGGCCTGCCCCTCATCGGCTGCAGCACTTGGGAGAGCGGCCCCTGCACCTCACCTGGGCAACACAGTGGAGCTGGACCTGGTGGTGTAGGAGTGGGTGAGTCAGCCCCTAGGGTGTGAGAGCAGGAGAACTGGCCCCACCCCTTGCTCACTGCTGCATGGGGTGAACTAGCCAGGGCAGTGCTGGAGAGCTCACCCTGGTAGTGAGAATGAGGGAGAGCTGGCAGGCCGACCAAACCTGCAGCCACCCAGGCTCAGAACTGGGGCTGTGAGTTGGTCCATCCCAACATCCACCCCATCTATGATCTGCTGGGAGGGGCCAGTCCTGCAGACCCAAAGTTGCAGGACCTCCAGTCCCAGTGAGGACCCAGTATTAATAGTGTAGCAAAAACCAGAGGCCTCAGCCGGGCGGTGGTGGCGCACGCCTTTAATCCCAGCACTCGGGAGGCAGAGGCAGGCGGATCTCTGTGAGTTTGAGGCCAGCCTGGGCTACCAAGTGAGCTCCAGGAAAGGCGCAAAGCTACGCAGAGAAACCCTGTCTCGAAAAACCAAAAAAAAAAAAAAAAAAAAACCAGAGGCCTCAAACCAGACCAATGACTCACTGCAATGAACACTTGCAAGTAAAGATGTATGGACTAAAGGGTAAACTGTGTGACTCACTACATCACTACAGCTTCCATGACAAGATTTTGTTGTTCTTTTCTTTTCTCTTAAATTTTACTTCATTTCATTTATTTATTGGGAGAGGGTTGCAGGGGCAGAGGGTGGATATGAGAGACGGGGATTTGGTTGGGATTGTGATGCATGTTGTGAAAGCCACAAAGAACCAATAAAAAGTTAAAAAAATAAAAATAAAACTGAAATCATGCAAAGAACACTTGTTGCTCTTCCACAGGGCTTGAGTTGAGTTCTCAGCACCCATATCAGGTAGTTGACAACCACCCATAATTCCAACTCCAGGGAAATCCAACACCCTCTTTTGGCCTCGTTGGAAGCCGTCCAAATGTGGCACACATTCACACACACACACACACACACACACACACACACACACACACACTCACACACACACACACACACAAATTAAGACAAATCTTTTTAAACCCCACTAAAATCATATCTATAATGTGCATTGTTTTTTTTGTTGTTGTTGTTTTGTTTTTGTTTTTTTTTTAGTTCTAAGAGTTGTTCTAGAAAATATCAAATAAAAGAGGGTAGGGAGAAAGCCTGACTATGTAGGTAGTTTAGTAGCAGTCCGGGAACTCCCCAGATTATGACTGACATCAGAAGCAATGGTAGTCTTTTGGGGGACTGTGTCCTTATGCTGTGGAGCCTGCTTTTGCTATGAGTAGCTGGTGTCAGGGTTGCAGCTCAGCTCAGCAGATGTGAAAGGCAAAGAGGAAGCCACCTTCCCCCAAGGCTGTCAGAGCAGCCGGAGTGCTGGCATGGAGGGCGTCTCTGAGGGCAGTGAACCTCTGACGACCTCAGTGAGTTTTTGAGAGGGCAAACTGCCCAACCATAGCAAGGGGCGAGCTGGGTCTGTTCAACCTTAGCGAGGGGCAAGCTGGGTCGCCTTTCCAGTGAGGACATTTCTCCTTCCCCTGGAAGCTCAGAGAAGCAGGGCTTTGGGAATGCTGTGAGCCAAGTTTCCCTAGGCATTAATAGGTATGAATGAGGTAACAGACGTGACCTTACTTCACAAATTCTTTCCTGCGGTGGCTCCCACAGTAGTTTCTATGCCCCAAGCTTCAGAAAGTGGCTCGTATGTTATAAACAAGCATAGCCAGCTGGGTGGCCTGTTGGGTGCTGCTGGACAGACCCAGCTCGCTCCTTGTTAAGGTTGGACAGACCCAGGTCGCCCTCGCTATGGTTGGGCAGTTTGCCCTCTCAAAAACTCAGAATGAAACTTACTTACCATGAGAGCTGAGTTGACAGATGGGACCTTTGTGGTGGCACATGACTGCGATCCCAGCATTCAGGAGGCGGAAGCAAGGGGACCACAGATTCTGGCCAACAGGAGCTTCAGGCTAGCCTAGGTTATACAGTGAGATCTATGGAGTGGGGGAGGTACTGTAAGAGCTGTCCCAGAATTGATAGAGGTCTTTAACATGACCACATGAGAGGCTTGAACCCTCCAACTCTTGGAGCGTCTCTGAGTCTCCGTCTCCTCTCCTCTTTTTCTCCTCTTCCACTTATTCTCCTGCATCTCTGCTTTCCAACCACCATGCTATGATGCAGCAAGAGGCCTTCACTAGTTGCTAGTATCTTAATTGTAACTTCCCCAATCTCCAGAACTAAGAACCAATGACTTTTTATTTAAAAAAAAAATTAAAACTTTCTATTCGTTAGAAATGATTCGACCTATGGTCTTCTATTGTAGCGCACAAATTCTCACCCCCCCCCACCTCACTCAGTGCCCTGCAGTGCTGACCTTCATGACCTGCCTCATTTAGGCTCTTTTGCCTTGGCTTCCTGGTCAGGTGGAGGGTCACCTCAGCCTCTCAGGTTCAGAGGAGGGAAAAGCTTCCTGCAGGGGCTAGCCTGGGATGTTCCACACCTTTACTCCTTGCAAGTTTCCTGCCTGTTCCCAAATACCTGGCAGCCGCTTCCCAAATAATTGACTCTGAGGCTTAATATTACTTATAAATGCTTGGCTGATAGCTTAGGCTTGTTACTAGCTAACTCTTACACTTAAATTAACCCATATTTCTATTTATGCTTTGCCATGTGGCTCATGGCTTGTTACCTCATTTTCTACATGTCCTGCTTACCTGGCGGCTGGCTGGCATCTCTCCTGACTCTCCTGACTCTGCCCTTCTTCCTCCCATCATTCTCTCTGCTGTCTTGCCCAGTCTCTTCTTGCCCGCCATTGGCCAGTCAGTTTTCTATTAACAATGAGTCTAATCCACAGCACACATATACAAATATGACAGGAAGGTAGAAAGGTGATTATATGGGAAAGGAAAGGGATCAGGGGTTGGGGGATAAAACTAGGTGCTGTGTAACAAAATATGTCCTGGAGAAATGCAATACACACATTTATTCATCCCCAATAGGGAGCCCATGATAGACCAAAGTACAGATACCACCAAAGTCCAACTTGGTGAACCACATGTTTTTATCAGGGATATTTAACAAGAGGAGTATGGATAAATGGTTACTTACAGGAGCAGAAATGATTCAAAGACAGTTGCTCACCAAAGTCTACTCCAGCATGGGTGACAGCTCACAAAAGCTGGGAACCTGGAGCACTCTGCACAGCACAGCCTGCAGGCAGCTCAAGAGTTTAGAGTGTCCCTTGCAAGTGCTTCAGTAGGTCCAAACCTCTTTTAGGAAACCCAGCTGGTTTTTGCTTCTCCCAGGCTGCTGGGCTGGTCCCACGGTGTCCCTTAAGAGTGGTTTGTCTGAGAGTGACTCTCAACAGTCCTTATAGCTTATTCTGGGAGGGAGGGGGCTATAAATCTGGTCAGTTTCAGGGACTTCCTGAAGCTATTTTGAGTTGTTTACCTTCCTGCTTAAAGAGCTTTCCTGAAGGATGAATGTTTCTATTCTGGAGGAAACTGTTACACAACAGTAGGTAATTGGGGACTGAATATGAAAATAAATTCTATACATGTATGAAAACATCATTACAAAACTCATAATTTTATACATTATATATGCCTATAGTAATAATTTTCTCATTTTGTTAAATTAAAAAGAATGTTTCTCAGTTTTAAAACTGTGGAAAATAATTGGATGAGAAGATTCAAAGTTCTCTTCTAGGCCCCACTTTTTTTTTAAACTTATTTTATTAGATTTTATTTATTGTGTGAGAAAGAGACAGAGTATGTGTGTGCGTCTGTCTCTGTGTGTGTGTGTCTGTGTGTGTGTCTGTGTGTGTCTGTGTCTGTGTGTGTCTGTGTTTGTGTGTCTGTGTATGTGTGTGTCTCTGTGTTTCTGTGTGTGTTGTGTGTGTGTCTGTGTGTCTATTTCTGTTTGTACCTGTGTGTGTTTCTCTGTGTGTGTGTGTATCTGTGTGTGTGTCTGTGTCTGTGTGTGTGTGTCTGTGTCTGTGTGTGTGTGCCTGTATGTGTCTGTGTATGTGTGTGTCTCTGTGTTTCTGTGTGTGTTGTGTGTGTGTCTGTGTGTCTATTTCTGTTTGTATCTGTGTGTGTTTCTCTGTGTGGGTGTTTCTGTGTGTGTGTGTATGTGTGTGTGTGTGTTTGCGCACGTGAACATGCCACAGCACGTATGTCTTGAGGACATTTAGGAGTCAATTCCATCTTTACACCGTTTGGTCCCAGAGATCAAACTCAGGCCATGAAACTTGACCACAAGTGCCTTTTCCCGCCTTGACCCACTGAGACATTTCACCAGCCCTAAGCCAATTTTTTGAGCATAAAATCAACCTTGTCTTCCTTGCCCGTGTGCCAGGGAGGCTCTGGTTCCAAGAATTAATGGAAACCGGATGATGGAAGGCCTGTCCTGCCAGGCCTCCCGCGGGGTACATTTGGTTTTGCTCTCCCAGACGTCCTCCAGCCCCTTCTCACTTCCACTTGCTTCTGCCACTGCTCCTGGGAGGGGAGAAAGAAAGGGAAAGTTTAAATCAGTTGCTCAAAACGCAAACCAGCCCAGCAAACAAAAACGTGGAAAAAATGAAGGGGCACCTCAGCAAATTGGCATGGCCTTTACGACCAGGCCTCTGGAGTTTCACACAGGCTTAGCCTGTGGCTGTGAGGCTGGCCGCCCTCAATACTTCACCCAGACACTTAGTGCTGGGCAGAATTACAGAGTGGTAATTCATAATTTGGGCTCTGGGATCAAATGGGCATGGGTTCAAATCCCACTGCCGTCACTTACTAATGGGATGATCCTGGGGAAAATTACCCAATCCCACTGAACTTTTCTTTGTAATCTGGGAAATCTTGGTAATACAGCATTAATAGTAACAACAAGGTGCTGCAGAGATGGCTCCGTGGTTAAGAGCACTTGTGGCTCTTTCAGAGGACCCAGGGTATGGTACATAGGGTGAGGTTACATAGACATACATGCAGGCAAAATACTCATTCACATAAAATAAATGAATCTTAAAAGAATACTATCTACTTGATAGAGTTATCATGAGGGCTAGGGGGTAGAAAAATTGTACAATGTTTGCCTCAATATTAAGAATCTAATAAGCTAAGTATTTTTGTTACTAAAGCTAACCCCATTGTCTTCCAAGAAGCTTGCAGATCAGAGTTCATTTGAATGCTCAGCAGAGAACCCTTCAGCATCTCTCTGTGATGCTTAGGGTTAACTGTCACCTCACAAACTCTAAAATCTCCTGGGGTGGTCTCTGGCCATGCCCTGGGGATTTTCTGGATGACAGTACCTGATATAGGAAGACCCATCTTAATTTTGATTGGGACCATTCCCTGGGCAGAGGATCCTGGATTGTACAAAATGGAGAAAGCAAGTTGAGCATGCATGCCTTCCTCTCTCCTTCCTGACTACGGCAGCCTTGATTTTGTCAGTGATAGGCAGCACACACCATGAGAGACTGCACAGCCATGAGAGACTGCACACACCATGATAGGCTGCACACACCATGATAGACTGCACACACCATGATAGGCTGCACACACCATGATAG